GGATTCACTCTTTCTGACTATATACTACTGATTGACTGAGATAAGTACTTGTATATCATCCACCTCAACCAGTAGTGTTTGCTAACCAGATTGAAGTGTCATTGATATAAGAATAAAACTTGGGCACTGTGGTAGAGTGTAATTCCATTATGGGTGAATTTTATTTTTATTTATTTATTTTTTTAAATTTTGATTACAGCTTGATTCCACACCGTATTTTCAGTACAAGTATGGAATTTTCAGCATGGATATCGGTGGCCCAAATTTTTCAGGCCGACCATAGATATCGGGTGTGCGTCGGCAGGGGATCGAACCCCGGACCATGTGCATGGTCGGCGAGAGTCCTAACCCCTGTGCCACCGACGCACAGATCGAAGTGATCTAAACACTCAACAACCGTTTCAATCGTTTGAAGCCGAGCTTGTCAGTGATTTAACTCAGCTCAGAGAGTCTAATCAGTTCAAACTAGCCGATGATCACTTGGATGTGGTTACCGAGTTCTAATGGTTGATGTGAGTGGAGTCCAACTACTCACCACCTCAGTGAAACAGTAACATATAGTTTCACGCACTTACGCTCGCTTTCTTGATTATCAATTTATGGTATCAAGTTAGTAGCACATATACATAATATGTAACAGGATGTAGTTTTTTAGGCAGACGTTAAGACTTCTGATGTTGAAACCTGTTGAACTAGCTGCGTAAATAGTCATTATGTGTGATAGATATTGTTAATAATAATCTTCTTTGTAATCAGTGATAGAATAGTTATAGCCTCTAGTGAAATGGTTGAAATAAACTAATTTCGGTCGGTTATGAAAGCTGAGATATATGCAGATTGTTTTCACATTTTGACTTCAGTCGATTAACCCAACAATATCTCATCTTCTTATCAGTACACATATACCTTGTGTTGAAAAGTATACATCTTGTCTTCTAAGAGATTGAGCAGAAATCAGTGGGCTCTACTTTGTTTTTACTATAGCCACTTTGTACTACTGCAGGAATTATCTTTTCCTGCCCTTGTTAATACAACACTTACACTGACCTCAGTTAAGTTCATAAATATCTTTAATTGGTAATAAGTCGATTGATCTACAACCATGGGTTCGGCTTTTACTCCGGATGTTTACTCTACAATGTAGTGAAGTAGAGTCAAAGTTTCATCTTCTTGCTACAAAGTCGTCAAAACAATTTTAAAGACCGTTTGGTTTCTCAAGATTCTGGAATCCATGTATATAATTGTTTGTAGGATAGAGTCTTCTAAACTGTTTGACGTGCGTCGGTGGCACAGCGGTAAAGTGCTCACCGACCACGCCCCATGTGGTCCGATGTTCGATTCCCGGCCACCAACGCACTCCTTTATCTCGCTAAGCTAGTAGTAAGACTGGTAAAGAGTGAAGGGTGGGCATGAGGCTAGCAACCCCATCCTGTAAAAATAATCACCACTGCTACAGAAACTTCAAGCCTGTAGCTTGAAGCCCTATGTTCCATTGGGAACGTAAAGGAATAAGAAGAGAGAGAAGAAGGTATCAAGCATATCAAACATTGTGGTATGAATAACTTCGGCTTTCAACGAAACTGTCGTGGAAATTTACTGCAAAATTTGTAAACTACGAAATTCGATTTAACGTGTTTGATTAAAAGTGACAATTCTAGGCTCTATTCATCAAAAGGCATGGTAAATGTGTATGACTGAAGATGACTGAAAACTTGGAGAACAAAAGTGTTCTAAAGTTTCTTTTGTTTCATTAATAAGTAATTATAAACAACCCAATGAATGATTATTATTCTTTGAATAATGCTGTGATTTCAAACAAGGGAACACATTGAACAATGCCACTGTTGCCATCCAACAATCAAATTCACTCTTCAAATGGAAAACGAATCAAAAATTCCCTTTCTTGATATGAAAATAACAAGAAGAAGTGATGGGACCTTAAGAAGATCGATCCATAGAAAACCTACTTGGAATGGTCAACTAACAAGCTTCTATATCTGGGTACCCATTCAGCAAAAGCGAAATTTAATTAAATCCCTTGCCATCCGCATCCAATGCATCTGTAATCCCGATGTTCTAGTAACAGAATGAGACATTTTGAGAGAAATCTTCACCCAAAATGGATACCCATCAAGATTCATTGACAAACATTTCAAACCAAGAATTTGGAGGAATGAAACTTCACTTGCGCCGAAAAAGAAACTCTACATGAAGTTGAATCTCAAGGGAGATTTAGCAAGAGATAAATCAAAAGGAAGGATCACATCATCTCTGAGAAGAACATTCTTTGCAGCAACGCTAAGAATAGTGTTCTCCAGTCTCCAACTGATCTGCAAAAGCCTTAAGGACAAGATACCGCATCTGACCACTTCTATGTGCATATATCAGTTCACCTGCTGCTGTGGAGCCAGGTACATCGGTCGTTTGACGCGCATTCTGTCCAAGAGTATTCGGGGACATGCAGCATGGTTGTGAAAAGGCAATAGTGGAGCTATAAGGAGTGCGGTAATTGAGCACCTGGTTAACAAGGATCATTCCATCTCAACAAACATCTCCTTCAAAGTAATCTATGGAGTCAAGAATAACATACCCAAGGCAATACAGTTTCATATTCTTTGCATCGATGGAGCTCTTGTCATTTACATAGAAAAACCGGAGCTATGCACACAAAAGAGAATAACTCAACCACTTTGATTACCATGGTAACAACTCTGTTGATTTTTGATGACTTAATTTCGTCTGTTTGCCTGTTTCTTTAATTGCTTATAATTGTTGCATTCATTTAGAACTCTTACGTAATTTCGTATTCTCTAATTTGTTCCTATGTGTATCCTGAGTAAAACTCAATCATCAAACCATTCATACTATTACGTAACTCCTTTTTAAAAACTGTTTGTGACAGCGCATTAACACCCAATTTTCTTGACCGTTTTTGTATTACTTAACTCTACCCAAAACTTACTAATTTTCACCTGTTTAGTTAAAATAACCATAACCAATTGACAAACTTAATGTATACATGCAAATAAAATAACTCATATATATTTGCGATTGTACGGCCAAAGTAGAAAATGAATTCGACGAAAAAAGACTTCACTGAACAACTACGTGTTTTGTTTTCATTAATGCCTGGATAGGGGTTATTCATGAACTTTTTAATCAATCAAGTATGATGCCTAAAGCTTATTGATTAAATCACAACCTTGGTATGTTACGGACACTAAGAGATGCGACACACAAGCACTGAGATACAACCTGGGGACCCAAATGGAAGCAGATGTTTGTTTTGAAGGGGCCACCTCACTCCCAGTCTTTTACTTGTGAAGACCAATCCAAAAGGCACTGGAGCAGTTTCAGGGGAGCTACGTTCCCATCGGACGAGAACCGGTGCTTTCGTAATCGTAGTAATTCTGGAGTTTCTGGTAACGATAAATTTGTGGAATTAGGGTTTTCCAGCTCGCCTAGATGTAGACCAGCAGTTGTAAGTGTCACACACGTGCAGTGAACTGACACTTTCACCCCCAGCCACCACATGAAAGCAGCAGTGAACAGGGCTTTACCTGGCAGAGACAGGCTCCAAATACGTGGTCACATGAGAACATTTCGATAGGAAAACCGGAGTCTACTCACCAACCTTAATCTACTCTACTTCGGCTATCTCCTATGGAAGGATGAGCCGGCTTCATGAACATCTCGAATCATCGCTGCCCAGGCGCGGCGATCTGATGAAGAGAGTTCATGAAGTTTCATGGGAATTTGGTACGAGTGATGTCCCCAGAATCACTCGGCCTTTTGTTTGAGAGTGCAGCTCTAGCCTTTACACAACCAAGTGTGACCTACAAGGCAGTAAGAGTGGAGTAGGGAGTCCACTATCCATTGGCAGCCGGTGACCGGAGTTCGGTTCATACGCCTTTTTGAATGGGGCCAGACATCCAGGAAATCCAACAAGCCCTTTGTTCATACGTCTGCCGGTGAGCTCCAGTGAGCTTCATACGCCAGTCGTTGGAGGTTTGGAATCAGGGTTTAGCCGTCTCCCCTAGACTGTCATCCAATGGACAGTCAACCCGGTGAAGAGCGCCGGGCATCCGCTTTCGCCCTCTCACTTTGGTGAAAAACACCTCCGTCACGTGAAGGCAGTGAGTAGGACTTCCTCAGGAGAGGCTATGTAAGACGCCCGGTCATATGGGAGCATTTCAAGAGGGTGGCCAACCCGCAGCGCAAGGCACCCACCCCCGACCATTCTGAGGCTTTGGAGGCTCACCAACCTTGGCTATATCAGGTGGTTTATGAGGCGGGAGGAGGAGAAGGATGAAGGCGATCTACTTTTTTGTTTCTTCCACGCAAAATCAAAAAAGAATACTTAATAAACAAAAAAACAAATGCAACTATCAATTTGATTTTCTTTTTTAAATTATCATTGCACTGAAATTAATACATACCTTTTTCAAATGGTAACATTTGCAATAATAAACAATGTACACGATATAATTTATCACTATTATTCATAATGATAGTAATAGTAGTAGTAATAATATTCTGTTGTGCAAACAAATAAACACAAAAACTACACAACAAAGATAAAAACAAACAAACAAACAAGCCAACGATGATAGAGAACAAAAGACTGATGAGAGAGAGAGTGAGTGTTGAACGGCGCTATTTTGTTTGTTCTTTCTTCTTCTTCAATGCTTGAGATAAGATGTGTTCAAATTCTGGAATATAAGTATATGTATATATATAAACATGATAGTGTAACTACTAAGTTAGATAGATGGAGAGAGAGATGAGGAAACCAATGCACAATGCACAAATTGCCTCGATAAAGGCCAAACAACGAGAGAAGATAATCATGGTAAGTAAGTGTATAGGGCACACCTCTTTGTGTCTCTTCTTTTTTAATGCATATATGATAAGAATGGAAAACAAAACAAGTGTGCTAGGAAGGGAAGGGTGAGGGGGGCGGGTGAAAACAGGTGTGTGTGTGTGTACATACACTCAACAAAGCTTTCATTGCTCAAATGAATAACAATAACAACAATAATAATCATAACCATTATAGTTATAGTAAAGTAGTAGTAATAGTAGTAGTAAATATATAGAGCAAAAACAAACGAGATACTCAAGGGTATAATAAGTGACAATACAAGTGAATTAAATCACTCACACTGTAGGCTTAAAATAATCACAGAATGACGAATGAGTTAATAATTCTGATGAATACAATCACACACTTAATGAATGAGATCACAACATTTATGCAAGAAAGAAATGTGTATATGAACCAAAATGAAATTTATATGTAATAAAACTGTTGTCGGAGATAACAATATTGTTAGGAAACTGATGAAATAGGACTTCGACTTGGACCCATTTGACGTAGAACACGATCAAGCCATAGAAATGGTCCACGCAGATGGATTTCAATCCAACACGGTGTTGATGTTATATCCTGTCGATGATATTCAGCACCCCAACCTTTCACAAAACTCATACGTATAGTACACATACGTACAAGATCATAGGTGGCTTCAACACCACGTTGAATAGTATAACTGAGTATATGAGCGAATTGACGATTAGAAAATATGCGTAAACAACCACCAGGAGGTATTTTAATCACAGTTGTTGGATGAAAATGATGTCGTTCATTGCATTCACGTGATTGAATAAAAATACTACAATCTGATAAGCATTCAGCGTATACATCACCACCAAATGTAAACAAGTGAACGCCTATATTTATTAAAACAAAACACAAATGGTATTTTTTTTAAAATTATTCTTGTTGATGCATACATAATTACCTAAAACTGAATTACTTCTTCTCATTCAATGTATCAATATATTCAGTGAAACAAAGGGCTTCTTTAAAAAGTAACAAATAAAACCTAAGAACCACTGTACAGTTATAATTTCATTATTATGCATTACTTACTAGTACTACTGTAACGGTAGAAGACAAGGGCCAGACAACAGGTCGTTTATTGAGTAAAATCAACCAATACTTATAGATTTTTATGTACATTATTATTAGCGTTATTGTTAGCGGAGAAGCAATCTCTTCTGATTGGTTGTTTTCCTGTTGAAGGTTATTCTTTTTTTTTGATTTACAGCTTGATTCCACACCGTATTTTCAGTACAAGTATGGAATTTTCAGCATGGATATCGGTTGCCCAAATTCAGGCATACCATAGATATCGGGTGTGCGCCGGCAGGGGATCGAACCCCGGACCATGTGCATGGTCGGCGAGAGTCCTAACCCCTGTGCCACCGACGCACTGTACTGCTTGTGGCCGTTTCTCAGAAAGTTAAGCCACATATCTGCGAATCACATTCGCACACGTTAAGTCTGCTGTGATTGGTTGGTGAGTTACTCAAGGTTAAGCCTTGTTATTGTTTTTTCGCTCATGACCCCGATTCAGGACGTAAGCATTGAGGTAAATTGTTGTTTACAATTTTGGTTTGCAGACGGCTCTCATCACACTACGACTACTACCACTAACAATAATCGCTCGATTTCAAACAATAAATTTAATTGCGAAATATACCCATTGGTTCATAGGGAAAAACAGAGTTTTTGTTCAGCGAAGAAATATGTATATATCCGGCAAGAGTAAACAATACACACCAAAATCAAATGACTTTGATTTGACCAGTCAATCAGATAACTTAGCAATGGTTGCTAGTCATAATCCTCGTTGAAACTGCCTCCCAGATTTAGTTTTTGACTGTTCTGTGGAAAATGTGTTGATAGGGAGAAATATAACATGCATATATGGAGGGATAACGACTCTGAAAAAGTATTGTCGGGCTATTACTGATGGTTGCGCATTCAGATGCAACCACATTATTGGAGGAAGCCTGTATAAGTTGGTAATTCGTACATAAGTGGTGATTTTTTTAGACACTTGTTGAAATCAAAGCTCTCCATTAGTAATATACTGAGTATATGCAACCAGTATCTGCTACAGCTGGAGAAACAGAGAATACATTGGTTTGATATGTCTCTAACCATTTCTATGAGAATCTGGGGCCAGCTTTGCAGCATATTAGAGATATATACCCTGTATGGTTCATTTTTGTCACATATATATGTATATGGTAGGTACACTAATTTATAAATTAAGTACCACTTTTCACCTAGAAGAATCTGACTGGCTGCTACAAGGTAGTTTGAAGTTGGTGTCTATTCTTTACTGTTGCTGTATATCCTTCTTTTCAACGACTTCATATTCAAGCAACCGTACAGTCGTATTTATATTACGGAAAAAGGCATTGAGTGATACTAGAAATTGATAATTTTATGTGCATATACTCATTCCCATGCTCATGTGGAGCTGATTACATTGAACGTTGTAAGCGTGTTCTCTGTAAGCGCGTAGCTGAACCCCAAAGGCAAAAGGCACACATTTATCACTCTGAAATCAGTTTGGAAATTTTATGCACCTAGTATAAGCAACGAAATTCGGAATTTCAACAGTAATGTTTAGTCAACCACTTCACCTATATGAGTCAGAATCTTGGCCTACGTGTAATGGAGAGCGTTTTTCACAGCCTACTGCGTACCTTTACCAACAACTGCCTTCGCTTCATACTGAAGGTGAAATAGCTAGACAGAAAGAATTAGCAACAAGAAACTCTGACAACGAATCAACCAAAAACTTATTGTTTAAAAAATGTGCCGAAGAAAATGTAGATGGATCGGATACACTAAGAGGGGGCCATTGGGTGACATCGCAAGCCAGGCCCTCAAGTGCAGCCCGAATAGGTAACGATGAGTTGGGCGTGGGTGTGAGGATGACGATGGATAAGATCGTGTTAGGAGTAGATGAGAGCTTTTGAGTGATCGTGGAGCCAGCCCAAATGAACGTAGAGATTAGGACAAAATGGAGACGTGCTGCTGAAGATAAATATTCCATTTGGAACCCAAGGGAATAATAATAATAATAATGAATAATACTTTAAAGTAAGCAGTCTGAAAGCAAAGAAGTAAACAACAAATAAATACGGATTACATACCAAATTATTTATATCACATGAATCACTAATTTATCAATTGGAATTGAAAAATAACTAGTAACTTGAAAAACATATGCAATCGAACACTTTTCCATATTTTTATTACAAATTCAAACAAATCAAAAAAATTAAATGCATAAGATTTCACCCTTTGATGCTACAAGCAAATCAATCAGTGTGTCTGTGTTTTAAGCGTTAATCTACAAATTTTTAAATGGTGGGATTTGAGCCTTATAAAATAAACACAATTTTTGGAAAGACAATCAACTTCATGGAATACATAAAAATAATTGAGTATATGTCAGGGTTGAATAAGTAAAGATAATTTAAGGTGAATTCGCTTCAATACACTGTATTGCATTTATGGACATAAAACTTAAGGGATGCGATAAGAATTTTTACCTTAAAATAATGAGACGATATATATCATAAGTGCTTCGCATAACAGATTACTTCAGAGTTCATTAATCCTAAAGCATAATACAACATTAGTGGTATATATTATTATTGTTTCCTTGGGTTCTGAGTGGAATAAAGGGCTTCAGCAGTATATCTGCACTTTGTCCTGTTACCTGTTGTCCTATTCAGCTGACCACATGATTGACCATATGCCCTCATCTCCTCCATGTCATCCTCAAACGCCTCAACTGTCATTCCCCATTTGGGTTCCAATCAACGGCCTGGCGCCCTAGCTCGCTAGCTTTTCAGTGGATCCTAAGCCCGGATAAAGGTTGGGGCTAGAGACCCGCCACCCCGCAACAGAAACCTGAAAGCACAAAGATATCATTGGTGGTAGGAATTATTTCCTCTGCACTACAACTTCTGCAGTTTGGGGAATCTCGGAAATGATTTACTTTAAAAAGTTAAGGGAGGCACAATCAATTATTACACTGGGTATCTGTTTAACAGTAAAAAAAAACCTTGTATCAAAAATGGAACTTGGTAAGAAATTCATACATTACTGACAGCATAAATGCTGCAAGTTGAATTAAACCAAATACATCTATGTGCATTCATGAGAAGACTTTAATGACTGTCAACTAACCCACGAAGATGGATAAGTTATCTGAATTCAACATACTAGTCCCTGCATTGAATCACCACCTTACGAACTGTTATCAAGTAGATTGATGAAGTAAACTAACTTTGAAGCAACGAATTAAAGTTGACAGGCAACAAAACACATTCTAAACTTTCCAACCCGTTAGCATGTTAGTAAGTTTTCTATGGAAAGATCAATTTTTGTACACAAAAAGATACACTTCTATTGATAGAGTCGAAGAAAAATAAGGAATCTCCTTCCTCCATAGGCACATATAAACATCTCATTAGACAGTTCGTTTCAAGCTACTGGTAAACACTTTTACAAGAGAAAAGACGTTTAGTGAAGAGTTACTCTTAACAGCGATATCATTCACAAGCTGTACATTCGTGTATATACATACTAGTAAATTTTCTTAGCATGAAAATGAATATTTCTAAAGACATGTCATTAGAACTGCAAATTTTAGGTCACAAATTATGCATATCCCTAAATGACTTCAGGAGTAAATGGAATCCCCGGAACCGATTAATGGTGAAAACAGACGACCTATCGAGAAAATAACTATAGAGATAGGACATAAAATAGATTTTTACACATCTATTAAACCTATGTGTAAAACGAGTTTGGGGTGTATGCTAAAATTTATAGAAGCCCTAGCAATTAGGAAGTTTAAACCACCTTTATGTGTTGAGAAACATTTCGTCATCACATTAAAGCTTCGTTGGTAAAAATTAAATAAGTAAATTGACTAACGTAATAAAATCGACAGGATTGATTATCATTCAACTAAAATTGAACGAGAGTCAAGGAGTAGAAATTTAACACGGGTTGAAGGAAGAAAATAATACAATTCGAAAACCCAAAAAACTACATGTTCAGTGTTAAGACGGACCACGTCTGCTGTAGATTTAGTGACTGAACAAACATTTTCTGTATTCAGAGTTTGAATTTAACATGTGAATCACCACTGATTCTGAGGTTTGACGTAGTTTGACCCTTACCGTTTTAAGCAAGATTCCCAACTATTCCGTAGATGACCTAGGAGTTGGTTTGTAGGTTAGCTTGGTGCCCAGATTCGATCAGATGTTCAAGGATGGAGCTATGGGCAATCCCTTCTTCCTCTATAACACCCTGAGGGTAAGTGTTCGATGATACATTTGGATAGCAAACTCTGAGTACGGCCGATATACCCAGCTTCAGACGAGCAGGTGAATTGGTAGATATACATCGATAAGACCACCAATGGTAGCTTGCCCTTCACGTCCATGTGAATCATTGGTTTTGTGGAGAAAGTTAGTCGAGAATCAGCCCCAAAGAAGTCAGATATAGGAATCATAATGTTAAGACACTCCTAGTACCCATTCCTCCCAAGTAGGTAAGTAACATGACTGAACATTGAAATACAACCCAATTACGTAGAACAGATGACACTAATAAGGCTGAAGTTTTTTGAAAGAATCCGAAACCGGGGTCCACTTAACAAAAGTCAACCGTTTAAACCGATGAAGCGTTTACTCAATAACAAATAGCCTACAACTGTATTTTTAGTGCATTATTTCATTTCACAATAAAAATGTACATTTTTAATGAGTGTAATCAGGAGACCTTCGTGTGCCTTTGGAAGTATGTGAGCCGATTGTTACTTCCCAGCTTCCTACACCGTGGAAGT